GCCGCATGACTTCTTTTTTCCCTCTCATGGTTTAGGAAAAGCCAATTGCATCTCTAAAAAAACCAAATCAAATCACTCATCTTAACCCTTTACATGCTAACAGCATATTCTCCATACTGTTCTTTATACATTTCCTAATGCGCTGACAAGAAGAATTTATTTCACAATCAAGAGCTTCTTCAGTTGATGACCAATTTCTTTATTTTCCTGACCTTACTGGGTGATTCAGGGGTGATATCGTAAGGAGAAATTAGATGCTGGTCTGAGACTCTCATGGGCCACAAGGTTAAAAGAAATCATTTTTTGACCAAAACACCTCAACATGTTACTGGCATTGTTAAAAGAGGATGACAAAGAATATGAAGAAGGAAAATAAGAAGACAAAAAATAACAAGGAAAGACTCTTCTAACAAAAGCCAAATGGGAATCTGATATAATAAAAATAATTTTTTGAAAGGAAAGCATTAACTCTGCATTCCTTATGAAACTGTTGATTAAGAGAATAAAAGATTGGAAAAAAGATGCTCATATATCAATCAACTTCAATCATAAGTAATACTCCTCGCTATTAACAGACAATTCCTATCATGTTAGTTTGGAGAACTATTTTAGTTTGGGATCAACACATAATCCCCTAATTGACACTCTTCTTTATTCTCATTACATGTCGACGTCTGCTTGATATTGTAATTATAATGTAGGGAGAAATTCTGTCTTAATCACTCCATGATATGAGTAAATGGCGAGTAAATGGAGGGTTAATTTTGCATTTTGATGGAACAATCAAAACCATGTAAAGGTTCTTCATATGCAGGGTAATTCCTATTTGGCTACTTTCCTTTTCGTATTTGTTTTAGAAGGTTTCTTAAGAAATGATTTAGTAAATGGAGGGTTAATTTTGCATTTTGATGGAACAATCAAAACCATGGGAAGGTTCTTCATATGCAGGGTAACTCCTATTTGGCTACTTTCCTTTTCGTTTTTGTTTTGGAAGTTTTCTTAAGAAATGATTGGAACTGGGTATATCATCAATAAACAGACCTCCTCTGTTTCTGCTTTTGCTTTCTGTAGTCTCTCAAACACCCTGTAGTGATGCTCTATTACATCAATTTGTTGAGGTGACACCTGATAAAGCTGTTGAATAAAACATTATAAATGCAAATATTACATAGAAACTTCAACAAATTTAACACTGCACTGACAAGATCTAGATACCACTCCTCACCAGCTGGCCTTTGACCAATCAGAGCGCGTGCTTTACTTTGGTTATGTTATAATTCATTTTGTGCAATTTTATCTCAGAGAATTTGGTGTGGCAGACAAAAGCCCTTCTGGTAATAATTATGTACTGGTAATTGCATGGGGCTAAGAAATATCAAAGATTAATATCACGATTGTTTTCAGAAATTGCAGAAAATGCTTGAGTCACGCAGCAACAAGGACAATTTCTGCAACTTCTGAAAACACAAATTCCACTCCACCTCATGCAACTATGCTTGTTTTTAACATAAAGAGGAAAATTTTCTTTATCGCAAACAATTTCAAGGGTTGTTGCACAAGGTAACTATCAAATTTATTTAATGAGAAACACCGTTTTTCTCAGTCTATCAGCAGTTAGTAAATTTTCATCCTCTTTGAAACAAAAGAAGAAATAAGGTGGAAAATGCGAAATATGAATTAAAAAATTAAGAAATGAGAGAAAGAAGAGATGGGGAACAAAAAATAAGGAGAAATGAGTGGAAGGTGAAAAGGGAGAGAAGAGTGGAGAAGAAATACAAAGAAGGGGGACAGGATGAAAGAGAACAACAGGAGGAAGGGGAAACGAGTANTCTGAAAAAGTGCCCCCACAATACGTTTCTCAGCAAGAAATCAATGAGAAAAGTCACACAACATTTAACTTGAATTTTGCAGGATTTTTCGGATAAAACTACAGCAACCTGTAACAAGTAAGACACAAGGCTGTTTAATATAATTTATTTATAAGCTAGGCCATAAAACTGTCACAAAATCGCCGCCAATGAAGAAATTTTAGTCACAAAAGTGAAATCTTTATTCGCAAATGCACCTAATACAGGCACAATTTCAAGCCCTGTAAAGAACAAGCAGCTAGCATTATCTAAAGAACAGTTTAAGAGTTCTAAAACTCAGATCAAGAACAGACACCAACCTCTTCATCATTATAAGGTAAGAAAGCAAATGTGAATGGTAAAACTAATGTTCCTGCATTGTCATCAAAGAAGAGTTGTTTGTCTTTAGTAGCTTCAACAGAAAGCTTAGCTTCTCGCACACCATCCACTGACTGGATGATGGAGCCAGCTGCATATGCCTCTGCAGTGACATACGCTTCAATTCCTCGTGTAAAAGAATCATGGTAATTGTAGTCAAAAGTCTGATTAGAAAACAAAAAACACACTATTATACTTGTTACTAGTTTAACTCTTTAACTCCCAAGATCTGATAGCTAATTCTCCTCCCATTCCTCGCTACAACAAGTTTCTTAGTATTAATTTATTATCAACTCAGTTGATAGAATACAATTATTTTGTTATACTTCCCCATCAATGCAGCACCACAGTTTCTTTGAAAACTTACCCCCTCCCAAATACTATACTTAAACACTACAACTAACTGAGCTTACGTCTCAAGTTGGGAGTGAGGCAAATTTAGACAGTTCTTCTCTCCTGGAGGAATTTTATGGTAATTTTTCACGAAAATCTTAATCAAAAATGAGACTCTTGCCGTCAAAAATTCATCTATCAAAAAAAGTCCGCTGTCATATTTACACTCTCTTCGTTACATGACAACATCAAAACAAATCAATCAATATTCATCCGTTCTAATAAAAAGAAAAACCCTATACTCACATCGACCAATGTCTTGAGAAATCCATTGTAATAATTCTCCAGGAAGCGGTTTGTTGACTCCAGAGATAAGACATATTCATTCTTAGCTTTGACACACCTCTTTTTGCATTCAGTAGACTTTTGCTGATGCTATGAAAGACCAGTAAACAACACATTAACCCTAAAACTCGCAAGATCTGATTCTTATTTCTCCCCTTAAGCTGCTCCACATTTCGTTGTAAATTAGTCTTGTGAGAATTTGATGTTAGATCAAGATAACAACTTCTACCTGATGAGTTTGAGAGTTCTTATTACCTGTTAACTGGGTAATGTGAAGATAATACTGGGAGATTGGTTTCATGTTGATCACCTCTGGGAGTTTAAGGGTTAATTCTACATTCACCAGTGTACAGTATAATTGTCTATCACATGAGACNGGACCGTACTGGAAGAATATCGGCCCTCGGTCTTTTTCGTACGGACCTCGCTACGCTCGGTCCGTACTGTCAAGACCTCGGGCCGATATTCTCCCAGTACGGCCCTCGCACTTGGTTAATAAGATATATATACCACACAGAAACCAAATACATGTAATTAGTTATTTCTGTCAACATGCCAAAAATTGTCAGAAATTTAACTCTTGATGCCAAGTGAATTTGCTCAGAGGTGAATAGTGCTTGCCATTCACTTCCAAGCTGGCCAATCAGGGTGCATGAAAAAAAAAAATTTACCTGAGTGGTATGTGCTTAAATCATCAATAAATATCATCATATACTGTAACTCTTTTATACCAGTATCATCAGCTTGAAACAAATTACAGTCAAACCTTGATTGTCTAAAGTCATAAAATGGGCTGAATGGTCCGAAGAATGAAACTTTAGTTGCAATCATCAAAAATATGAATAATAGCCATCAAGCCAAAAGGTAAAAACTGATTTCCTTAATCAGAGTGCATGGATCATTGTTGACATTTGTCAAAGTTATTTTCAAGATATGTGAAATCTACATCATGTAGCACACAACCTTCCAAAGAGAGCAGAATGAATTCAGTTTCAAAAGGAGTTTTGTTGCATGTGTTTTGTTTGATGGAAAAAGGTTGGTATGGATTTCAAATGTGACTAATTATTTCACAATATCCATAAAAAAAATGGGACAACAGCTAGACAAGGCTGGAAAGTCCAGATAATCAAGGTCAGGATAATCAAGGTTTAACTGTGCCAGAATAAATCTTTGTTCTCTATTTTTCAGCACAATTACAAAATGCTCCAGTTATAAAATGTACCTTCTCAACTTGCTTTGCCATTTTTTCATTCTTTCTTCGCGAATCTTCCATCTTTTGAAGTTTCTGCTCTGCGGTTTTGCTTTCTAAAGCAATTGCATGATAGCGATGGACTTTCTATAACAAAAAAAAAAGGTTTCAAAGTTATTAACTGTTTAATACACCTCCTAAGATAACATCCAAATTCTCAAAAGTTTTCTCTAAAGATTTCCTTTGGCACTGACAAGGAGAATTTGTTTATTAATCAGAGCTACTTAGCTTGGGATCACTTTCTTTATTCTCATGATTGTAATGAATGATTCTGTCGTATGACTGTATGGAGATATTGGATGCTGGTCACTTGTAGGGTTAAAAGTGTCAATGGACTTTTGGATCAGTGGGGAAATTTCAGTTCCTGTTGGTACCACTCTTAAATTCTGTAATAATATTTACCTTTGAGTTTTTTTTATAGAGGACTATAAACAATAGGAAAACTAACTATAAATTAAATTCATTTAAGTTTCATGGAGAAAAACAACTCAATTTTTTTTATTCACCCTGCTAAGTTCCTGTACTGATCTGACAAGTTCTTCCTGAAGAGTTGTAGCTGTTTCACGACACTGTAAAACACAAAAAATGACAGGGCACTTACAAAATTAAAGATATTTTGTGCATGACAGTTATCCTGTCCTATCCTTTTTCTCATTAATATATAGATTTAGCCAAGCCTAAAAGCAGAGCTTTCATTTTTTTCCTGCATGTCTTGTCAACAAAACTAATGCTTCTGCTATGGACAAAATACCTACTAATATTAATGGATTTTCACTGGTGACTTCTTTGTGTCAAGCGTATTCAGATACCATTGCGAGGATGAGCCCGCACAGCTCGATCAACTGCGCATGCTTAATGTACCATCCTCTAAATTCACCTCAAACCCAGAGTCTCCTCAGCTATGTACAAGTGTAACGCACACATTGTGCTCAAACACCTGCTGGACAAGACTAAAGCTGTGGCATTGGCGTGCCCGAGGTACAGTTGACTGCACATGCTAAAAGTAGCACCTTGTGCGGACGCCTGTATAAGTCCAAATTTTTTCAGCTTGATGGGTTACTACTACTATTTTGTATAATTATGGGGCTACACTGTGTGGACTGCATGCACTGGAGCTCCACTAATAATTCCCCTTACTGTCTGTCATACAATTCATATGATGTTAGTTGGGAGAATTTGGTTTTGGACCAACTGATCAGCCCCTGATTTTCTTTTTTCTTTATTCTCATGACTTGTCTGCTTGATATTGTATTGATATTGTAAGGAGAATTTCTGTCTTGGTCACTCATGGGAGGGTTAACACTTCACACCCTTACAATGAGAATTTGGTTCACAGTCTGGGACTTTTTGAATTGGCCACCCTTTCCTTTATTCTCCTGACCTTTATATTTAATTCAAGGGAGATGCTCTAGTGAGAAATTAGATGTACATCACTATTAGAAATTAATGGTTGACACCATAAACAACAAGGAAACCAAAACATTACGATCTGCACTTTTCAACCTACAGGGATTTCATTAGAAGCCAGCTATAACTAGCAAATTCTAGCAGCTGTACTCTACACAACGGAGCTGGCAACTTTGGCCATTCTGCCTCCCAGGTTTTGCATGTTTTATGGAAAACATTCAATATGTATTCTAAAGGCAGTCATCATTAAAGGTGTTTTTTGTTTTTTGTCTCCTTTTGGGTTGTTGGGTGATTTTTGTAAGGAGTTTAACAATTCAATCAAAACCACAATCAGTTTGCTGAGTCAGCCAAGTTCAATGGACAGAAGAGAAAGACTGGTGACAAATCTGCCTCGATTTCTGCTGAACTGTCTTTCGCCTACTTATGTCCTAATATTTGCCTACTTCTGAAACTAATGAAATCTCTGACCTATAGGAGATCTGATGACACAATCAATTGGGAGGTTACACAAAAAGGCTCAAACAATGATATCATGATTATAATTTTTGGAATAGCCTGAACAGCACCTTCTTATGAATCTACATTAGGTCAACTCCACGTTGCGGACATGACATTTAGAGGCAAAATTTGAGTATTAAATGTCTCCTAAAGCCAGATCCAAACTATTTGAATTGAAATGAGTCATGTCATAAAATTACCCATGAAGTACCTTTTATTTTGCTAGTAAACATTTTGACTATCTCTTAGAGATCCAGAGAAAATAATTTTTCAAAGTGTGTTGTGGATGTGACTACACTAATTTGAATT